CTTGAGTTTAGGAGTCTGTTAAGTCCAAATACCAGGTAGCAGTATCAGAAAAGGTTTCCTGTCTCAGACGGTACTGCAGAAAAGTCCTTTGCCTTGAACTTCTCCTCCAGGATTCACTTCTTGTGGCTTACGGCCTCTTCTCTTCTATTTGCAGCACACTGTAGTCACAATGGAATAGTTTCCCAAGGGAGGGTAATGTGTCCTGTAGATTTGGTACATAATGTTGTTTTCTTGGCTGGAGGGTCTGTGGCCCTAGGGCTCCAAAATTTTGAATGTATCAGCACAGAGAATGTCTATCTGTGTAGCAAGAGCTATGCAAAGGTATTTGAATGTGTAGATCATAACAAACTGTGACTGACTCTGCAAAGAATGGGAATCACAACATTTGATTGTACTTATGCAAAACCTATACTTGGATCAGGAGGCAGTCGTCAGAACAGAGCAAGGAAACACTGCATGGTTCAAAATTGGGAAGGGTGTACATCAGGGATGTGTCCTATCTCCATACCTTTTCAATCTATGTGTAGAACAGATCATCCACAAGGCTGCACTCTGTGAGGAGGAATGGGGCATCAGGATTGGAGGAAGACTCATCAACAATCCATGTTATGCAAATGACACATTCCTGCTTGCTGACTGAGGAGGACCTAAAGTGCTTGCTGTAGAAGGTCAAGAACTGCAGCCTTCAATATGGATTGAAGCTCACTATCAAGAAAACAAAGATTCTCGCCACTGGGCTGATTGGTAGCATCATGGTAGATGGTGAAGAGACTGAGGCTGTTAACAGTTTTAGTTTGTTTAGCTCCACAGTCAGCACTCTTGGCACCAGCAGCCAGGAAATCATAAGATAGATTGCATGGAAAAAGTCTGCTGTCAGAGACCTCTCCAAAGTGCTGAAGAACAACAATGTCAGTCTGGAGACTACGGTGTCCCTGATCCAGGCCATAGGCTCTGCAATCACTTGCTATGCATCAGAGAACTGGGCAATGACTAGGGAGGACAGAAGGTAAATTGATGCCTTTGAGCTGTGTAGCTGGAGAAGAGAATATACCATGGACTGTTAAGAGAACAAGCAGGTTCATCCTAGAGAGGGTGAGACCAGGCTGTTCGTTGGAGACAAGGATTCTGAAGCTTCATCTGACATACTTTGGACATGCTGCAAGGAGGGACCAGTCCTTAAAGAGGGACGTCATGCTTGGGAGGGTGGACTGATTCAGTGACTGGGGTAACAGGACAGAGAGAGTGAGATTGATACAGGATAGAGCAGGGTTTAGGGCTAATTTACATATGGTGGCTGTGAGTCGCAGGTGACTCTACGGCACATAACAACAACTAACATAATGAGAAACTCCATGTTCTCATGACACTGAGTTTTGTGTTTATATATAATAAATCATATCTAAGTATAATTTTTCTATACCAGCACAGGAAGGAAGTGGGAGAGGGAAAAAAAGACCTTTGATTAATTTATTTTGGAATCTAAGTAGCACCTCTATTCACTCAGGTAGTTACATGCACAAAACTCCATCTTGGGAATTGTTTGTCCACTCATAAATGGAGTATTTTTCCCCTAAGCAGCAAACTAGTATAAAAAGAAAACTAGAGGCGCATAAACAATTGAATATTTTTGGTTTAGTTCTTTTAAAAGAAATCACTCAGTGGTGGAAAAATATGTAAATTACTTTAAAACATAAAAAGGCATCCACATCTATATTATTCAAAAAGAGAGAAGGGGAGAGATCTGGAGAAACATTAAGGAAAAGAAGCAAAGCAATTACTAAATAAACAAGACAGGGTTTATTTGACTTGATCTAATAATAAACTCTTTTTTTAAATTTTTTTTAAATTTTTTTTTTTATTATTTTATGTGCTTGTACCGTCAAATCAGATCTGACTGGTACAGGAGGATATTGCACCTCCTTCTCCGGCAGAGCATCTGGTGGACTCGAACTGTGCTCCTCTGGGATTGCAGTGCAGCTTCTTGCCACTAGGCCACCAGAGCTCCCCCTAATAATAAACTCTTAAGACTCTTTTGCAGATGTGAGGGCGATCCGGCTGTGAAATCTGTTACCCCACTGATCGCCAGGGTTGATGTGGCTGATCTGGCTGGCGAGGCAGGTGTCCACTTCCTTCCTCATGGATCCACGTGTGTCCCTCCCAACACTGCACACTCAGTTGAAGAGGACCACCATCCCCGACAGAAGGAAGACCAATCGCCCTTCAGTCAGTGGTACACAAGTAGCTACGCTCCCCTGCTAGAGCCTCCAACCATGCGCTCAAGAATCTTTGGCTGTCTCTTCAAGGTTTTCATACACATTGTCTTTCACCTTAACCCCTGCAACAATCCCGCAAGGCAGTAGTCAAGGAGTTTTTGTCATTCCTGGGTGAGGAAATTCAGGCTGAGAGAGATCAATTGGATTTCCCAAGGCCACACACCTGGTGGATGGCACTAGGATTTGAACTGGGGTCTTCTGAAACCAAGGGCAGCAGACTCCCACGGCTTCACACTGTTCAAACACAGGCAGAAATTTCAAAGTAGTGGCAGTAACCCAGTGGTTACTTAAATGACAGATGAGGTGGCTGGCTCCCTCATCACTCTGTCTTTCCCATACACATATAAAGCCAAGTGCCCTATTGAAAAATAACCATCTAGTTAGATATATTACATGGGGCTGAGCACTGACTTAACCCCACTATCGCTTTTAAAAATGCAAATACTCCTGAAGGGAGTACTAACTTAAGCCTCTATCTTTAGACCTGAACTCATCTGTGAGAGAGAACAGTCTAAGAAGTTCAGTCCTTCACCATAAAGGAATGTGACCCTGCATCACTCAGATTCCCACTGCCACCAGGAACTACCTTCTAAGAACTGGAAGAATAGCTTGAATCAAAAGCTGGAGGCACTGCACATTTGTCTGTATTCTGAGACTAACTAATGTAACTTCTTCCGGAACCCTACAAGAAGTCTTTAATCCTAACTTTTCACACTGGTCTGAATTCTGTGGCTTCTTTCCTGTAGAGTTAGCACAAGGGCAAACACAACTTGACGCAGGCACTCACGCCCTTGCCTCTGTCACCTGGAAAGGTGAAGTGGGAAGTCAATTCAAGGTCTGGATATACTCTCCCATTTAAGAACACCTCTGGTTGCTCAACGCCTTCAGACAATACAAGAATTGGAGACTCTGATTTCAGAGTCAATCAGAAAGCCTCAGAATAAGAGGCATCAAAAGGCACCCACTTCCTGGAAAAACCTATGCAGCAGACATTTATCCCACCAAATTCCAGGGCAACTACCACCTAACAGACTGGTGGCTGCAACCCACCCAGGAACACAATACAAATGTGCTTCCGAAAAGTCACAGTCTGGAAGGTCCTATGGCACATTCCCAGCCTAAAAAAGGATTTTCTGGTTTTGAGCAAAAATAGTTATGGTGGCCAGGGCAGTGGCAGCCAGGGCATGAGTGTAAAGTGACCTATTCAACCGTAAGGGCAGGAAAATGCTGACACATTAATGCATATTTTAAATATATTCTAAGAACTTAAGGGGAAAGATTTGGCGTGAAAAAAGCAATGTATATGAACTTTGTAAGTAAACCAATATAAAATCTTAAAGGAAAAAAAAAGATAAATTAACCCTATAATGCCTATAACCTTCACAATTTCTGATCTAGTGGCTTGATTTCAAAGATTAAAAGGTGATAGTAAATTCATACCTATCATTACTTCCTCTGGATCACAGTTGATTCTTGGGTCATGTGAACCTTCTTTTCTAAAAACAAAAGCTACTATGCCAAACGCCTCCTGTTTCAGTCAAAGACCGCAGACATTTTTTTTTTCAATAAATTAATTTACCAGACTAATGACACTAGAAATGTTTTTCATTTGTCCACCAGTATTTTAAAATCTAAACTATTTCTAAGACCAAGTACTAAATTAGATTAATGGGGCTAAATTGTAATAGGCAGGTGAATTTATTGGAAGATTCCCATCCACGTCCACTTGGCGATGACTCCAGCTTTATGCTAAGAACACTAAGATGCTCAACTTCTTCTAAAGGGAAATTTGATGTATTTTCTATCAGCACCAGAATTGGCATCAAATTGTCAAGAAGAGCATCAAAATACTTTTTAGCTTAATCCCTAATTTCATGAGACTTAAGGGAACCACTCTTTGATGTCTTCACATCCATCAGCCTCATGAATTCATTTCTCAAAAGCTAAAACACGGCTGAACAAGTGTATTAACTTCTGAAACACGAATGTGTGGAAGGCCCATTGGTCACTTCTGAAGCAGGTGCAGTGCTACATCCTGGAAGGAATCAGCCGTCAAGGATGAGGGCCTGGGAGTGCTGCTTTCAGAAAGCTTCAGAAACTACTGACGTTTTATTCCACAGTAAAACCAGTTATACTAAAGTATAACATACAGCTGTTCCATGTGTGTCAGAGTAGAACTCTGCTCCACAGACTTCTCAATGGCTGGTTTCTGGAAAGACATCCTTTCCTCTGAGGTACCTCTATGTGGGCTCATCGTTCTAAGCTTTTGGTTAGCAGCTAAGTTAAATATTTGCATCATCCAGGGATTCCAGTATAAGAATAGGGGGCCCTCACTTCCCAAGCTCTCGCCATCACCTTCAAAAATGGTTTTCACTCATTGGCATCTGTGTTTAACTTACCTGTAGAGATTCTGTCATCTGGCATAGCCTCAAATGGAATTGTGGAATTCTTCTCCCCTCCCTAGGTCCTGATTAGCAGTGTAACAGAAGGATTCATACCTCATTGTGCCCAAGGAGATCTTGGATGAATGGCCTGGTTCCACACAGGGCATTGCTGTGTGTGGCACTGATACCAGTCTGTGTGGTAATGAGGTAAAGGAATGGACTATATTTAGACCTCAGCTCTTCCAGGTAAACATTAGCTTCTGAATATTGCCACAAGGGATCCCTCCCATGGACAGCCCCACTTTGCCAATTGTCTAGAGCCACTGTGAATTTAAGAACTTACGTTTGGTGCACCTCTGGGAGCCAGGAGCCTTACTCCATCCATGGCAGCACTGTCCTCCACAGACATTCACCCTGAAACAAAGCAACACTCCTGAGTCAAGCGGTAGCAACCCTCGGCTGTTGGTGGTTGTTACTGTGTACCATCAAGTCACCAATGACCTATAGCCAAACTTCCAGACAGTTTTCAGAGGCAGTTTAATCAGATGGGAAGAACCTGCCCATCTTTTCTCCTGTGGAGAAACTGGTGGATTTGAACTGCGTGCCATCGAGACTGCAGTACAGTCTCTTACCACTAGGCCACCAGAACTCCCTCTAATGGGATTGTCTGGACTCAATGGCACATAACACCACTCTGGCAGCACAGACTATCATTTTCTCATCCCTCTGGATTCAAGAAAGCCCTCATGGGCACCCAGGATCCCCAAGCCTAAACCATGCAGGTAGCTTCCCTTGATCAAGAAGGACAAAAGAAACAAAACCTGTATAACCAATAGCCATTATTATGCAGACAACATAACCTTGCTCACAGAAACTGAGGAGGACATGAGGCATCTGCTGCAGAAGTTCAAGGACTGCAGACTTCAGTTTGGACTGAAACTCAACATCAAAAAGACAAAGATTCTCACCACTAGGCTAACTGGTAGCACCAAGATAGATGGAGAAGACACTGAAGCTGTTAACAAGTTCAGCTTGCTCAGCTCCACAATCAACACACTTGGGACCAGCTGGCAAGAAATCAAAAAGACTAAAAGCACTGGGGAAGGCTGCTGTCAGAGACCTCTCAAAAGTGAAGAGCAACGATGTCAGTCTGGAAGCTAAGGTACTCCTGATTCAGGCCCATAGTCTTTGCAATTACTTGCTATCCATCAGAGGTAATGATCAAAGATGACAGAATTGATGCCTTTGAGTTGTGGTGCTGGGAAAAGAGTATTGAACATACCATGGACCATGAAGAAAACAAACAGGTTTATTCTGGAGAGGGTGAAACCAAGGCTGCTCCTTGGAGGCAAGGATTTTGAAACTCCATTTCACATACTTTGGGCTTGTGGCCAGCAGCGACCAGTCCTTGCAGAAGGACATTAAGGATTGGAAGGGTGCAGGGACAGAAGAAGAGAGGAAGACCCCAGATGAGATGGATTAACACAGTAATCCATCTCATGGGGGTAAGTGTGTCAGAGACAATGAGACTGACTCAGGATAGAGCAGAGTTCAGAGCTATTGTACATTGGGTCGCTATGAGTTCCAGGCGACTTGACGGATACTTAACAAACACCACCATTTAGACGTAGAAAGGAGGAGAGAAAGGGATGTAAATGTCTTCAAGTTCAAATTAAAGTCGTGTTAAGTTTATTTTGTATGTTATTTGTGCCCACATTTTAAATTCAAGTTGAGTTTCAGAGAGGTGTCCAAATGGTGGGTGAGGTCACAAGCTTGAAACCAGCCCTGGGGGGAATAAAAGCCAAGTAAGCAAAACAAGCCCTCCCCCGCAACAGCCCCCAGCACTCCCAGCCCATGATTAATAGGGAGCGGTGCCCCCATGGGGCGATGCTTGCGAGCTTCCAACCCTAGAAACTTCACAACCAAAACTTCATTGTCAGTGCAAACACACACACACACACACACACACACACACACAGGTGCACGGAAAGGTAATTTTAACATTTCTAGGATGCTGAAAAGTCCTTAGCCACAAAACAGTAGCCATATCTATACAGCCAGTCTGTCGCAAAACATTAGCTAAAACAAAATTAAAATTGCAGAGAGCAGTTCAAATGATGCTGAGGGATTAAGTTGTAGTGATTTCATGTTTACGCCCATCTTCTAGTAGTTCTGTTGGCGCACATGAGGTTACGCCCCAGGCAGAAATGCCTTTTGTGTTTACCCACAGCTCAGAAACAATGCACTGTAAATTTCCCCTCAATAAAAGTCACTGGGTTCCCCGGCACTCAGCTCCTCCAGCAGCACTCCAAGGCAGGCACAGGCGGGAGGAGAAAGCGAACCATGCCCGGACCCCCGAGGTCCCCGCACGGGCGGTGCACGCGAGGAAGGCGGGGAGAAGTGGGGAGAGGGCTTACCCCTGCAGCTGCTGCTTCTGATGAACCTGCAGCCGGGAGCCCGCGCCGCTCTGCGTCTCCCGCGGCACTTGGGAGCGCACCACTTGCCTGCCTTGTCTGGCGAACGGGGCGACCGCAGGGTGACCGCCCGGCTTCAGCTGGAGCTGCCCACTGGAGCCCCCGGGACGCGCTGGCTCAGGAGGCTGGAGCCCCGGCAAGGGCGCGATTCTGGGCTTGCTGGTGCGCCGGGTCCGCTCCGGAGGGGCGCCAGGGGAGGCGCGGCTGGGAGCGCCAACACCCGCCGAGCTCCGACTGTACCTGGTGTTGAGCGCGACGTTGAAGGTCCGCGGACGCGGCGGCCCGCCCAGAGGCAAGGCGCCCGCCGCCAGGCCGGGGCCCGGGCGCACCACGTACGTGATCCTCCGCACCCGGCCGTGCGCCGACGACGCGAGCAGCCCTGCCCAGAGCAGGATCCCCCACCTGAGCCAGGCCCCCGCCATCACGGCCCGGCCGTGCGGCTCGCCCGATGCGGGCGCGCTGGCGCTGGCCCGTGCGCTCCGGCCCGGGAAGCGCGCAGAGAAGGCGGGTATCGCGGCAGGGGAGGAAGTGCTGCGAGCAGCAGAGCGGCCACAGACCCCAGCAGCGAGTGGCGCGGAGAAGGGGGCGGGCGTGGGGGTGGGGAACGCGCAGCCTGAAGGGAGGGGAGGGGCGAGGGGAGCCGGCTGCGCAAGGTGAGGGTCCGCGGGGTGAGCCCAGGGTGCAGGGGCGCCGCGCCCGGAGCCGGCCAGCGCGGGTGTGCGCGCGGGATACGCACGGAGGGAGCCCCGACTGCGAAGTTCTCTCCAAAGTTTCTCTCGCTGTTGAACCGAGTGTCAGATCTGAACAGCCAATCTCAGGCAGACGTGACGTCAGGCAGTAAAGCCTAATTGGGGAAACCGTGCGATGAGCTCGGGGACGGGCCACCACCCCTCCACTTTCACATAGATTATTACGGTGGGGTCCGAAAGGCAACCGTCCCGGTTCCACGTCCCCATGTCCCTGTAGAAGACAAAGGATTCGACCAAGTCATTCCAGAAGCCCAGTAGGGTTTGATACTGTTTGGAAAGCCTGCGTTTTCTTAGCGACGTTTGCTCTGATACTTGCTACTTGTACTAAGATTAAAATATCACATCAAATTCTAGAAAAGACTGTTTCGAGCACGGAGCTTTGAGGGATAGCCTTTAGATGATTGCCTTTGGGGCTGGGAGTGTTTCTCGGTCTGCACACTCTGGTACCCTGCTCCCCACGCGGCATGTTCGCGAATGCAGAGCGGACAGCAGGGGGCGCCCGCGTACACCGGGAAAACCACCAGGAGCCTCAACCACGGAGCTCTCCGTCCAAAAACCTTCAGGATAAGAATACAGACTTTAGGATCCCTAACAATCCAAAGCTATTACTGTTGTTGTTTTTGTTCAGACACAGGGAAAGAGATTGTCCATCCTTCTCCACAGATGAGGTGGATTCCAGCAGCATGCCTTTGAGATTGCAATGCAGCCTCTTACCAGTAGGCCACCAGAGCTCCCTAAAGGCATTGTTGTTATGTGGCTTAAGTCAACTACGACCCAATAGTTCTGAACCCTGCCCTGTCCTGAGCCAATCCCGCTGGCTCCAACACACCTGCCCCCATTACCCCATTTAATAAGCCAATGCATCTCATCCAGGGTCTTCCTCTTCTGTGCTGTCCCTCCATCCTTCCAAGCAGGATGCCCTTATCCAAGGACTGGTGCCTCCTGGCAACATATCCCAACTACGTGAGACAGAGCTTCAAAATCCTTGCCTCCAAGGAGCAACCTGGTTTCACCCTCTCTAGGACAGACATTTTAGTTCTCTTGGCAGTCTATGGTATGTTCAATACTCTTCTCCAGTACAGCAAGTCAAAGGCATCAATTCTTCCATCATCTGTAGTCATTGTCCAGCTCTCTGATGTACAGCAAGTAAATGTGAAGACCATGGCCTGGATCAGGCACACCTTGGTCTCTACAATGACATCATTGCTCTTAAGGACTTAAGTGAAGTCTCTAACAGCAGATGTTCCTAATGCAAGTCATCTTTTGATTGTCTGAATTGTGCCAAGAGTATTGATTATGGAACTGAGATTGTTTATCTCAATCTCTTCTCCATCTTTCATGGTGCTGCCAATTGGTCCAGTGGTGAGAATCTTTGTTTTCGTGATGTTGAACTTCAATCCATATTTAAGACTTCAGTCCTTGACATTCCAATACAGCCACCTGGACCAATGTAGCACCCTAGACAGATGTAGCCTAGAGCCATTACTAGTATTTAAAAAGAAAAGTTACAAGTAAAAGAAAGGAAGTCAAGTTGATTGGCTGCTTAAGAGACAATGAGTTACCTTTAAGTGTGATGGGGAAATTTGGAAATGGTAATGACTGAACATCCTAATGTTGTTGTGTGCCTCTGAGTCAAACTGGTTCCATAGCTGACCATCTTGTGTGTTTTCAGAGGCAGTGAACAGCACAGGAGGACATTGCCCATCTTTCTCCTGTGGAACAAATGGTGGATTTTAACCAGGTACCTTTGGGTTGAGAAATTGAGATTATTCACAGCTTTAGTTTGCTTGTCTCCACAGGCAACACTCTTGGCACCATGAGCCAGGAAATTAAAAGACATATTGCGATGGGAAAGTCTGCTGTTAGGGACCTCTCCAGGGTACTGAAGAGCAATAGTGTTACTCTGGATACGAAGGTGCGCCTGATACAGGCCATGATCTTTGCGATCACTTGTTATGCATCAGAGAGTTGGACAATGACTAGGGAGGACAGAAGAAGGATTGAAGCCTTTGAGCTGTGGTGCTGGAGAAGAGTACTGAGTACTGGACTGCTAAGAAAACAAAGATTCATCCTTGATAGGGTTAAACCATGCTGCTCCTTGGAGGCAAGGATTCTGAGGCTTCGTCTGACATACTCTGAACATGTTGTAAGGAGGGTCCTTGGAGAGGGGCACCATGCTTGGGAGGGTGGAGGGACAGCTCAGGAGAGGAAAGCCCTCTACAAGATGGATCGATTCAGTGACTGGGGTAATGGAGATGGGTGTGTCTGAGGCAATGCGATTGGCACAGGACAGAGCAGAGTTTAGGGCTGTTGTACATAGGGTCGCTATGAGTCGAAGGCGACTTGACAGCACATAACAACAACAACCACCTTTTGGTTGGCAGTAAAACTTCTTACCGCTAAGCGACCAGGGCTTCCTGAACATCATGATAAATGTTACTAATGCCACTGAATAGTATACGTAAAGAATGTTAAAATGGCAAGAATCTGTTTTACAAAGCAGCTCGTCCGGCGTAGAGATGGGCAGTCTCCTGTTAAGCGATATACAACCTCAGAGACCCAGGGAAAAGAGAGCTAGTAATTGGTTCGGACTCTATGGCAGTGAGTTTTATATATCACAGTTTAAAGAAAGAAAGCACAAGTCCTGTCCTTCCCTGGGTCACTCACACTGGAGCTGGCCACCCTAAGAGGCTTACTGACGTTTGGGCAAAACTTTGAAGTAATGTCATTTACTTCTCACTCAATGTCATCAACTTGATTCCCACTGAAAGTGACCCTCCACTAAGTTGCTGAGTTGACTGCCCATCCTCTTCCTTCAGAAGCCCTGGTGGATTTGAGCCCCTGGAGACAGTAGACCTTTCGGTTAGCACTGCAACATCATATGAACTAATTTAAAACAATGTTCACTAGCAGAATCTATTACATGATTCCATGGATGCAACAGATAATCCCTGTTCATAGCTGTCCCCCTTTTCAAGTAATTAAGCTAAAAAGGATGACCCATATCCAAGGCTTTGAGTTATTGTTCATATTTCTTTGTGGCTTATCCTCTATTTTGTTGTCTGCCTGGCTTAGCTAGTAGACAATTGCCAGCAAGAGTTTGAAGGAAAAATTATTTGAAGTTGAGGAAACTTACGTCATTAATCTTTATATAGATAGATTTCACACACACACACACACACACACACACACACACACACACACTGCATTAAAGAAGGACCGCCATGATTTGATTTAGCAGGAAAGGCCTCAGTCCAGCTTCCAGAGACCAGTTCCTACAAGAACAGAGGCCAAGAGCCACTGTTCTAGAATAAATAGCATTGGACTGGAGATCATGAAAGAAACCTCAGTTCTAGTCCTAGCATTGCCACAAAAGAGCCACAAGACCATGGGAGCTTCCTCCTCCACACCATAAAGAAATTGGATTCACAAATGTCTTTCAGCCATTGCAGCTTATAGCTCTAAGAACATCTAGGGTTAGCAGGACCATTTCAGTCACAGGGTCAAGTCAACATGAGCCAGCAATTGTTGCGCAGAGGTGATCACAGCTGACACCAGAGAAACAAAAATTCACAAATTGTTGGTTGGAAAACTAATTTTCTATACAAACTTTTACCCAAATCATGTGGTTTGTGTTTGGTGGTGGTTTTGTTTTAAAAAAGTGAAGTCACTGAGAAGGGTGGGTCAGAAAGCTGCCTCCCAGGGCTGAGTTCTATAATGAAGGACACAGGACAAGCTAGTAAGTATCCGGAAATGGCTATTTTGATCAAAGCACAGAGGCTGAATGCCTAGAGATACAAAATAGCAAAAGGCACACCCCTTTGTATTTGAGAAACTTCCTAACTGGTTAGAGATAAGATATTAATAAATGGAAGCTCAAATGAAATATCTGAACTCAGTAACATTTTGAGATAATAGTAGATCTCTCTCCCTCTCCCTCTTCTTCTCACTTTCTCTCTTCCTCTCCCTCTCTTTCTCCCTCTCCCTCTCCCTCTCCATTTCCCTCTCCCTCTCTCTGAAAACAGGGCTTGCTTTACACCGTGACAATATCACAGAAACAAACCCATTACCTACATCAGTTGTATCACAAATACCAATAAGCACGAACAGTGAGAATTCTTTGTCATCTTACGGAAAAAATCATACGAATATTTTGTTGTTGTTCTTATTAGTTACTATTAAATCTTCTCCAGTATACAGCAACCTTATTTATAGCAAAACAAAATGGTGAGGGGTTTTGAACAATCTTTACAGTCACAGCTATGATATAGCCATTGTTTGCAGCTACTGTATCAACTCATCTCACTCAAGGTCTCCCTTTGTTGCTGGTGCTCTGCTTTAGAAGGGAAAGAGACGAATGGCTAGAGAAGCTGTGGTATATTCACACAATGGAATACTATGCTGCATTAAAAAACAAGGAACTCATGCAATATTATTCAAAATGGTTGACTCTGGAGAACATTATGCTGAGTGAAATATCCCAGTCACAAAAGGACAAATATTACATGATGCCACTGTTGGGGAGAGACTGAGTAAGATGGGTTCAATAATGTATACTGCACTGAAACAGAGGAGGGAGAAAGCTGTTTAAAAGAGATATATAACTAGGTATTTCTGTCATCACAGGAGACTAGAGCAAGGGCTACATGGTGGAGGGGACCCGGGGGAGGGTT